GTGGTGGCAGCGAAGGGCAGCTCGCTGGGGGAGGCAGCTGCGAGGGGACTGCTCAGGGTGGCTGGGACCGAGGAGGGCTGGTACGTGCTGTTCCAGAAGGATGGCGGGAAGCTGCGCTGGCTCATTGGGAAGGAGCCGTCTGGGTGAAGGGAGAGGGAGAGAAAAGCAAGACAGCAATGAGCACACCCAGAGAGCCCTGATTTCCTCTCCCCAGGGCTCTGCCCCTCCCCAGATCCCCTCAAACCAGCCCTTGCATTCCCTTTATCCCCCAAACAACTGCCAAACACAAGATGTTACTCCCAGTAAGTACAGATTCCTTTCCAGCTAAACATCCAACACACCTAGCCCAGGGCTTACCCATGAAACTGAAACTATTTGCTCCAGGTTTCTCTTAGTATGTATTTAGGAAAAAGACTTTTATCTAAGGTGAGGGAAACATCTCTTTTCTCAGTAGTGGAAACTGAGTCAGAGCTATTATGCACCACAGCAATTTCCAGGGCTGGATTTTTCCTGTTTGTTTTTGCAGTAATCTCCCTGACTAAGCATTTACACCCAGCACCTCGGAGGATGCCTGACCCTGCCAGGAAAGCGGCTACTGCCTCAGTGTAGTTTCAAAGCAGGCAGGAACAGTGTGAGTTGCGACTAAGGGCCAGCTTGAATTTTCTAAATAACTATGGGCAATTCCCCATCTATTACACTGGACTTACGCCCGTTTCTTGGGCATATCGTTAACACATTTGAGAAGCACTCTGAAGGTTGTTGGAGACTGGTAGAGCAAAGTACAAGGACCCTACATTCCTACATTTTCTTTTCCTGGTAAGCAACATGCAAGATGGACCGGTGATTATTAATAGCACAGACAGACGTTACATATTATTAATTGGGAATGCATGGTCTTCCCGAGAGAAATAAAATTGTGCTCCTGATACATGTTTGCAGGGAAGTATGTCAGCTCTGCGCCCTGGCATTACTCAGGAGAAGCAGTTCATGACGAGCAAAGAACTCTCCTCTCCTGCCGTCAATTCCAGCGCTGAATATCTTTCGCCTGTGAAATATTTGAACTACTATTTCATTCTTAGAAACTACTGACAGCAATTCATGGAGGGGCTGGGAAACGGGCTCTTGCCTGGGCAGGCGGCCCTGCGAGAGAGGGTTCCCATAACAAATGCCTGCCCTAACTCTGTGAAGGGTGGGGAAGGTTAATCCCCTCTGCCCTGGGTACCCCCATGGGCTGCTTGTCCAGGGTGAATTGGGCATGGCTATGGAGAGCTGCGCATCAGCTGTGGACTCGGCCTTGCCAGCACAGGGCCACTGCTGTGGGCAGATCCGAAAGCCCTTATTGTCAGAAACGTGGGGTCCTTGTCTCTGCTCCAGCAGCCACCAGGATGGGGTACGTGCAGGGCGGGATACAGGGGGACACACAATCTGCTTTTTAGCAGCGGGAAGCTG